CTTCAAAAACAGACTAGTTTTTTTTCACAGTCCAGATACTTATGATGATGTGGAGTAGATGAGTCAACAGTATTTTTTTATTTGTGTAACTGAATAAGTTTATATTTTATAACTGTATAAGTTAACAAGATGCTGCACATTCCGAATTTTAACACAGGCCACAGGCTCATCTTCTAATATTCTAAAATGACACATATTATGACTTTATTTTATAACATTATTCTTATAATATTGTGACTTTATTCTCAAATTTCTCAGATATTTTTCTTTCCTGTTAAGTGGCACTCATGCTCGGTTGTATTAAAGGGACTGTCTGGTAAAATGAATAATTCTGTCTCAGCGTTGATTTCCAGATTCCAGCATCTCGGCTATGTGCCTTCATAGTCTATACCCAGGTCACAAGGGTTTAACTTCAGCGCCGCAGTAAATGGAGAATGACGTTGAATGCTTTCCACAGCTCTAAGAGACATGGTGACAATGATGGATCCTGTAGGTAGTAATGACTGACATTACATGGTCAGAGTAAAAAGGCAGCATATGAATAAAGTCATCTCTGCTCAGACTGAGAGTCTGTCAGGCTTGAAGGACAGACACAATCTATTCTGACTCCTGCAATTTTCTCTCTTTTTATTTTGATTTTCTGACTTGTTTTTGCGGGTTCTGCTTATTTCATATCAGAACAATACAGCAGTCGGTGTAGAGCAGCCCACAGTGTGCTCCGACCATGAAGGATACAATCAGTAGCAACACAGTGTGAAGACAAAACATCACGATTTGCCATTAGAAATGTTTTTATTCTTTTTGTTAAATGGATTAGGAAGTGACTCGTTTGGAGTTCAACGTCCAACATTTCCCTTAAAGGAGAAAAGCCACAGAGAGAGATTTCACTCTCCATCCCAGAAGGACACAACCAGACAATAACCACTGAGTCCTCTAATGTCTCTAATGCCTTCTCCCTATAGTCACGTGGCTATTTGTGCGGTGGTGGTGAGTTTGTCTCGGCCAGCTGTGCGTCCATATGTGAACATCACTTCTGCTACAAAAGCCAAGATCACACATCAGCCCTGTACCATATAGCAACACTTACCATATGGTGGGACAAAGTGTTTTCCTGTAGAAGAAAACATGTTCGCAGACCCTTAAAAAAAAATGAAAAGGAAGTCTGCAAACAAGGTCAGCCTCCTGCCTAGAGGCTTTTTCACTGAGCTGTTATGAATCATTGCATTGGTTCTGCAGTTATAAACAGGATTTCAATAAAAATCAATTAAGTCTTCTGTATTTTGCGTTTGATGTCTCCCACCCAGGGTTAACGGTTTCAGGCAGTGTAAGTGGGTTAGGTAATGTGCTTCACCAGACGTAACCTTTTATTAGGAGTGAGGGCCATTTTGCTTAATTAAATTGTGTATTTGAAAAGACGATGATTCGCCAGTGAATTTGGGACAACGTCTTCGCCTTTGCTGTGAATGTGCTCTCAGAAAGGTTTTATTAAAATAGAGTTTTCTCCAAATAATACATACGACTTCGTAGGAAACACTTTAGTTAAACAAATGCAGTATTTTATTACTTTTAAAGGCACAGTGTGTGTACTATCCTGTCCTAGAGTGATGTGTTTTTAAAACGAGTCTGCGTCAGAATCTTTAAAGAAGATTTGTAAAAACACACATTGGTAGAAGTCAGTTTAATTAAACTTCCGTGCCTTTGCTATACTTTAAATTACAGCCTTTATCTTTTCCTCGCTGTACAGTTGTACACGGCATGAGCAAAACTGACACTATCTGCCAGACTGGCTTATGTAACATTTGCTGTACAGTGTGTTGTAAACACAGCTGGCTCTATACAGCCAAACACTGCCAAGTGAAGTGCAGACACTAATTATCCTTTGCTTTTTTATTGTTAGGAAATATGGTTTTCTGGTTGCATTAGCATTTCACCAAGACATGAAGCAGCCTTTATAACAGCATCCTCAGCTACTACAGAAAGGTTTGTCTGCAGACGGCCTCTACTGATGCATTTCTCAACTCAACATGAAGATAAAACATCTAAAAATAAATTACATTGCTTATTTATCAACAGCATTTGTCTCTGTTCCACTTGTTATTTTCTCTCTGAATGATTATATCTGGCTGATGTATAGTGTTCCTTTCCCCCAGATCAGGAATATTGTATTTTTAATAGCTTTATCCATGTAAAGGCTAAGTGATCTACAGTTGGCAGCCCAAAGCGTCATTAACCTGATTAATTGACCAAAATGCAGAACAAAATGCCCTCTGTGTTGATTTTGACTTATTATCACGGATGATTATGAGAATTGATCAAACCAGTCAGGAGCCAAATGAAACAGAAACAACACAACTACAAAAGCCACACATTGAAAACACAATCACAAAGGAAGTGAGTGACAACGGATGTTGACACTGAAGCGATCAGAGTTACTTCCTGCTTTCATTCGTTTTTCTTTCTATGATCAAGTGAGACGTCGTTTGTGAAAAACCCAGGCAAACTAATTGTTGTGTGAGGTTTTTATGGTACATGTACATATCCATTGTGTGGCTTTTTCCTCCCTGTTTTTTTACATCTTAACTTGGTAGCAAATAAATGATGACATTTGTCAGTGGGTAATTGTTTTGTTTATCAGTCTAATTCCCCCCAAAATTTTGTCAAAATAATTTTCCAAGCACTGTAGTATTCAACGGTGAAAACAGAGAATCAGTTGGAGATTATTTTTAGCTGTGGATTAATACACATTTGTAGCATTAGTTATTTAAAGCAGCAGTGCAGTGTATATGGGGTTGGGTCAAAGAGAAAGTACTGTATGACTCAGAAAATGTAAAGTACACACAGGTAAATGATGCGTGTAGAATCACAGCATTGGATTTGCTCTTTTTATTGGATTTGTTCACAGTAAATAAAAATAGATTATCACTTATATAATATATTACACCTGTAAAATGCTGCTGTGTGAAGTTATATGAAAAAATTAAAGCCAGACTATAACTGTTATGTTTTACCTCCATCATGTCCCATTTACTTTCTCCCCTCTGTATTATACCAGTCGGACCTTTGCCCACGGCGCTATGTCAGGGCTGGAGAAACGTCTGGCTGCACCCATCGCCATTCAGCTACAGGAGAAACAATGCACAGGCTTGTTTGTATTTCTTTTATCCACAATGGCCGTGAGCGATGAGAAGTAATGGGGCCCCTGCAAAATAGGCAATCACTGACATTCAAATGGTGAATTCACTGCAAAGAAAAGGCCACAAATAGCAGAATGATGTGCAGGTCGACAATCCAAATCTCCATCAAAACTCCAGCTCCGACTAGAGTATAAATAAACATGGACAACATGATTGCAGTATAGGCCATAAATCCAGCCTCATCAATGTTAGTTGATGGGACATAAACCAAAGTAAAAAGTCAGGTCAGGAATTTTCTCTCATTTTATGTGGTTCTCACGTGCGGATTTTTCCAGTAAGTTTGGTTGTAATTACTTATTTGATTATTTGATGTTATAAAAACAGGGTGGAACCTCATGATTGACAGTTGAGAGTGACTTGTGTTTGGTCGTGTGCATCAATACCGCTGGTCCATCAGATCTATACTGTGTATGCTCCGGCTCCAAATGATGCCATCGTCCATCTATAAATACAGATTATGGTTTTGACATGTAGATTGCCAGCGCTGAGGTCGCTTTTGTTGTTTCCCTTAGCAAAAGGGATTTTGAAAACGGTTAGAAGCAGGAAGTGGAAGGGGAGGAGAAAGTCACTGAAATAGGATGCAGTCATAATCCATCAATGGCATTAACTAACTTGACAGGTTTTAACTAATTGGCTGACAGACATCAGCTACTTGCTGAATCTTCTGTGTGTGTGTGCATGAAATCCTAGTGCTGCTTTTGTTTGAGCTAACAATAGCTGCTCTGCTGTCTTTTCCATGGAGATTAACAACCATTTGCCTTGGGGAGTGTCATCTTTCAATAAATAAACCCAAATAGGGAGGGGACAAACGCAGCGACGTGTCATTGAAGGTGAAATACTATGCTTTGCGTGGAAGGTAATCGTCTCTAGATGTTTAAGTTACACTGTTCTGCCAGCTCCTTTTTTAGCTGTCAGGAATCAACCTGCATGCTGTGACTGCAGAGCTGAAACCTGAAAGATTTATTCACTTCAAGTCAAAGTTCTGTAGCAAATAAATCCTCACAGATTCAAAGCAAAATGTGTTATTGAAAGAAAGGTTTGAGAAGATCTCTGTGTTAGTTCAGATCCAGCTGTATGACATTATTTTTACTGAGGAGGCTGTTGAAGGGAGCACATAGGGACTTCTAGCTCACAGATATAGATTCTGCCATTGCTTTGTATGGACACTTACTACCTATTTATGAGACATACTACAATCTAGTACATGCCTTGATTTTATGCTGCCATGAATGTATTCTGTGTCACATAACCTAAGATGAAACTTTAATGATCCTCAGGGGGGAAACTGGGTCAAAGCAGCAACAGGGATATCATTAGAGCGGGTATAGATAGAATCCATGCTACGTTAACAAATTAATCATTTAAATCTTTACATTTACACATTCTTGAATTTGTTAGACTAAATGTATTGACTGTTTGCAGTGTAAACCACAGCAGAGCCCAGCAGCATTCTGAAACTTTAGTGGGAATCCATGTCTACTTTACTAAATAATAATACAGCCTTAATTACACTTCCATTTGTTTACTTATTACATTTGTTACATTCTAACTGGAAAATCCTGCAAAATGTGTCAAAACCTGCAGATTTGTTCTAACTCAAATACAGTGATACTGATTCTCTGGGAAATCATCAAAAATATTGAAAATCTCCCTTTTTTGCAAAGTTTCAGTCACCTTTCTCCACAAAATGTCTTGTAAATGTGTTCAGTTGTTTAGCATTATCCTGCTTACGGATGATAACATATCCTCCTTCAGATAATTAACAGTGAAGCATTTCATCTCATTATCCCTGTTTTCTCCCTTCAGGGAAGGCCTACGCCCCTGAGTTCTACTATGACACCTACAGCCCTCTGTGGCAGAACAGACCCAGAATCTACGGCTTCAAACTCCAGTGGACCCAGATGAACCCCAACGCCGTGGACCGCATTGTTGCCTACAGACTTGGCCTCAGACAGGTAGAATAACAATGTGTCATCTGTCAGGGTTCTTTCCCCACTGCCTGCTGATTTGTTGGTCTTTTCTCTGTTTAATCTATGGCTGCATCGCTCATGTTTGCTGCACAGAACTCATTTAGAAAGGAGCTTTGGTTACAGCCAGAACACGAGTTGTTAAAGCCTGAAACATTGGCTCCTAGTACAATGATCGTTGAGTCTTTGATATTGGTCAGCCTCTTTTTGGCGCTCACCGGTGGGTTTTTGCCACAGGTCAGTAAAAACCTTTCTTATCGCCAATCCAAGCAGAAGATAGAAGTGTCCGTAATTCATTTGACAAGATAAAATGTTCCATCTCGATTCATTGTCCGTCTAATTCTGCAGTTTTTTAAGGCTGTGAATGAGCCTTTGTGGACCAAACAGAATCACTGAGATTCCATCAGGGGCAGTCGGATGAATGAGTTCTGTGGTTTCCACGAAGTGCTTCTGTTTTTCGCTCTCCGTCAGATGCTCAGTCAGAGGAGTGGAAGGGAACCCCGCAGAGAGGAAGAGCAAGCATAGCTTCTGTTTTCCCTGCTACGAGAGTAAACTCCACCGATGACAGGCACACAGCATTGATGGATGACATGGTTACATTTGCTCTCTTTGGCAATCGATGTGTACCTTCCTCTGTCTCTCTCGCTTTTCTCTTGCCCGGCTCATAGCGGCTGCATTTGGTTTTAATATTTTTTTATTTGCAGCAGAAGGTGTGACACCATATTCAGATAGTTTGAAGACTAGCTTAAGGTGGGTGAGACGTCTCATACAAGCACATTAGTGAAAAACACGAAAGCAAAAGCCACAACACAACTACAAGAGCCACACAACAGAATCACAATGAATACAAAAGTGAGTGACAATGGTTGCTGACAATGATATAAGCAGCGTTGCATTCGTGTTATGGCTCTTGCAGTCGAGTTTGCATTTCTGTTTTCCATCAATGCCCTTGTGTGAGACGTCTCGTCCATCGCACTAGCTCCGTTAATACTGCAGCTTTACAGGTTGTAATTGCATTGGCACACTGTGCTGCCATTAGGGAACCTTGTTTTTTTCTTTTACAGCACATGTTGGAATGCTAAATCCATCTCAGTTCAGTTCAGAATTAGCAAGCGTAGCCTGACAGTTGTGTTTGCAATGAATAATATAATTTCATGTTTGTTTCATACTGCACCCTCAAGGATTTGAGGCATGGAAACACAATCTAAACAAGTTGTGTTTTTGTGGTGCAATGATTTTTCTGTCAACTATCTCAGTTGGTGTGTTTGGTAATAAATGATGTTGTGCTTGCGGAGCCTGTGGTTGCACTGGCCAGGTGTTCTCAAAAAAAAAAAACTTGCCTGAGATATACGTTTGCTTTTTATTTCAAGCCGGTCTCGTGCACAGTTTTTTAAAAGAGATTATAATGTCTGCATTTGTGCCAGAACAGACCAACGATGATTCAGAAATCTCATTACCATTTACATTCCTTCCTTGCATTTGTATATTAAAAAAAGAACATCACTACCCCCGTCTGTTTTTAGCAGAGAATCAGTGTTTGGGCAGATTAATTTCTTCCCACCTTCTTGCCTTGATATCTCAAGAGGGTACACTGTGTGACCATTATTTCCTTCCTCCCAGGCATAACAACCAATCTTCCATTGTCTCAGATGAAAGAGATTTTTAGCTGTAGGGAAAATTCAGACTTTTTGGCAGCACTTACGATACAGTATACCTTCTGACTGATTGAGTCTCAGCTTTTTGTATTGATTTAGACAGATAATAAGATTTTTTGTAATGTCTTTTGGTGAGAGAGAGAGTCGAGGCGGCGAGTGAAAGGAAATGAGGGAAGAGAGGAGCAAGATGAGTGGGAGGAGAAGCTCCTTTTGTAAATACGTAAATAAATGCAGAGATACCCCCGCACTGACTGTGAAAGAGTGGTGCAGTAACGCAAGCTCGGCTCATGGACTACACCACTTCGATCTATTTATAGATCCAGCAGCAACTCCCCTGCCGTTCCCTGAGAATTATTATCATTTTCTCTGGCTACTTTTGAATTAATACCTAGAGCCGCTAGACCTTATGCCTCTGTAATGGATTGCTCCGCGTTATCGTCCAGTGCCCTCATGACAGACAGTCAACCCGAGGGGGAAATGGGAAAGAAGGTGTAGCTGAAAGGCATGCACAGACGAGAATCACAAAACACAAATCACTGCACCTGTCAAGGATGCAGTGGAAAGGTGTGACATCTGCTCTTGTTTCGATACTGTAGCCCGCTACTTCAAAATTGTCTCTGCTGTCCAGAGGCTTGATTGGCTGTCTCCCATCCCTGCCAAATAACTTCTTCAACTCGCATCCTGCCATCATGGAGCTGCTGCTTCCTCCTCTTCCATCTTCCCCTCCTGCTCCTCCTCGTCTTTCTTTTTTCTTTTCAATTGATCTGTCAAGTCAGAGAGCGCAGGCACATCAATAGGAGTCATACTAATTACATGTAGGCAATCTACAGTAGAACAGTGCTCATATAACGTTACACTTTGATTATTCCTGTGTTTCTTTTGGATCCAGTTATTGCTTTGATCAATCTCGCTGAAGATTCCGTAAAAACCCCATGAACTGCTGCCGCACTTGAATGAAATTAAATCAATATGGCGCTCTGCCTCTTTGGAGAAAATGTGGAGAAATAAAGGTAATAGGATGTAAACAGAAACTCTAATTGAGCACATGCACCGGGATTCAGTGAACATTAATGGGAATCAGAACAAAGGTGTAAAATCCATACACCACCACTCACAGTATTTGTATGATTGTAAATGTCTAAAAAGTTAAATGTGTTCCTCAATCAGCATTTCAACTTTGATTTATGCTTTTTGTGTAACCAGAAATTCATATTTGATGTGGAATAAGAGATTGAACCCTTTGCTCCCATTCAGAGTTTGGAGTTTGAGGCGGCGTTTGCCAAGACTAGCATTTAAGGCCTCCATCTGCCGGGAGCTTTGGGACACACAAGCACACACAAAGGCACAAAAACACACACAACAACACAAACCAGTCCCCAATTAAATTATAGTTTTTGGAATCTTACACCAGCCTGAACAACATATTTAAAAGCTTTTTTAGCAAATGGTATTAGATAACCACCTGGACAGCGATGTGAAGGGGGAATTATGAACAGTAATGAGGTGAGATAAAAAAAAAAACCTCCAAGGTTCCTCCTGAAGTAAATTGTCAGGGTGCTCCCATCACAATCAGGAATCAAATCCATTTCAAATGAAACATTTCTTTTTTTCCTGACACTTACACAGTGATTTCTATTACACTGAAGCAATAGAAACATTTTATTAATTTCACAATGCAACAGATAAATGTTAAGTGCAAACACAAACTCACAGAGTGCCTGTTTCATCAGAGTCTAACTGGGCCACTGACAAATATTTGATCAAATTTTGGTCTCACTCGTGTCTCAGCTGCAGACTTTCAACATAATGAACCATTTGAACAGCTGCAGTTTTATATAATCAGAACTGATAACAACGTTTTCACTCACAGCTACTTCATCATTTAAAGAAAATGCTTATGAAGAGGTTTAAAGGAAAGGATGAAAAAGGAGAAGCACTTTGTGGGAAGATATGCTGCAACTAATCCAGTGATGGGATCTGAATACGTGAACAATTGATACTGATCAGATAATGTAAATGTGACATTAGCTAATTCTGTGCTCAGTAAATAGGACTGAAGGAAGACGTTGTGGTGCAGTAGGATAGGTACTAATCAGAAAACGTGAGCATACTCTTTACGCAAGATCAAGATGTGTTTTTTTTCCCACATCTGAAAAAATAGATTTGTTGAATTATATTTTTTGAATGCTTGGCCATTTTCACAGGAAAAGAAAACCTGCAGAAACAAATCAAATTAAAACATTGAAAAGCCTCTAAATTTCTATCACTGATTTGTTTTTGTATTGAAATTATGTATCAGATTGTTTTTACCATGAATTTAACTCTTGAAATGTTCAATAACTCGTTCAACTGCTAATTTTTTATGTTAACAAATTCAGAATGAAAAATTGAAAGACATTAGTGTTCTTCTAAAAGCCTATTGAAACTTTGTTGACATATGGTTTTCACTGGTCAGCTACAGTTGGCATAATATGTACTTATGCGTTCCATCTGTTTACCAGTGTTATAGGAGCCTATAAATAACTGTGTATAAATATCTTCTGAATGTAACTGCCAGTCTGCAGACATGACGCACACCACTAAATAAAAACTCAGAACAAAGGGAGCTTTCATTTTTTAATACATCAAATGTTCTCTGTTCTTAAAAATCTGTTCGTATAGAAATGTTGGTTTCACTTTTTGACAAATAGCAAAATGTGCTAAAAATTATGCTTCCATGTTTCAGTGCAGAAACACACACACACACACACACACACAGACAGGCAATACTCTGTAATTTCTGTCAATTAACTGCAAAGCCTTTTGTGGAGAAACCAAATATTTACAAAGGATAGGTCAGGACAAGTGAGACATCTGTAAATACCAGTGACAGACAAAATACTCTATTTACCTGCAAACTAGCGGTGATGAAAACTTGCACCCCATAATTGTGGCTCCTCCAGACTCTAAGTAATTACTTAATTGGTATTGTTCTCACACAAACTGCTTCACCGCTATCACACCTTCATTCACACTCTCCCCGTCGCTCTGCTCGTAACACACTTCCTCTTTTCCCTTTGGCTGAGAAGGGCATGTATAGTCACTAATTGTGATGCAGAAGCTGTAACTTGTCTTTGTGCAGCTCTTCCCCTCAAACTGATTCTCAAGGATAAGATGTACCCGACTTCTCTCTGCTTTGCCCCCAGCGAACTCAGCAGCAAACCCTCGTTTTGTTGCTTTGAATGTCGGTGGGGCTGCATTGTATCACCATACACGAGGAGCATGAGCTAATCATTTTTTGTGTGATACCTGAGCTTACCCACCCAAAGACAAATTCACTTGTGTGCTCTGCATTGTTCAAAGATGAGGTATAACAATTCCTGTCAGTTTGAATACCTTTAACGAAGGTAAGGGAAAAAGCTTGTGGAAGACGATTAAGAGAAAGTGTGAAAAGAATGTGGCTATTGTGTACAGTGCACAAATCGTGTACAGTGTCCTTTTTGTACTTGCAAAATGCAGACTGAGGCATGTCTTGAAAGAGAAAAATGAATCGGGATTTCTCTCTCTGCTCATATAAGAATATCTCTGCCGCATGCTAATAACAGCCTTTGAATTCAGTGGCTGTGAGCGGCTTTGAAAGTAAACGTGGCTAATGAGCAGTTAGCTGTCAACAGCTTAGAGAGAAGAAATGTTTTTGTTGTGCAGATCATACAAACACCTATAGACAAGGTTAATTGGCAGATGAGAGGGAACATCCTGCACTGATGGCGAGAGGAATACATATTTGTTGTGGTCATAAGATCCGAGCAGCAAACTCTTCTGAAGAATGTCCTGTGGATCGCTCATGCTCTTTTAATGGGATTATTCAAGATACTAGATCAGTAGAGAGAGCAGCACAGAATCTAACGCAACAGACCGAACCATGTTTGTATTGTGTCACGAGATTTTCCCTTTATTAGTTTCAAGGTTGTAGTCGCTCTCTAAATAAAGTTAAAGTCAAGTATATTTGCGATTTAAACAATGTGGGTTCTACATGAAAAGCTGAAACCTGTGCTACACTGAAACTAGCAAAGACACTAACTTAAGTCTGGTGGGCGTGAGCTTCCCAGTCTTCATGAAGGGGGTTTAGAGTAACTTTTATTTAAAGAATAAAGTACCTCACAGTTGTCAAGTGACTTTATCTGCCCTTGGGAGTTCAAGACTAGCAGAATCCTGTCTAACTTGGAGTATTTTGCAGACTAATTTACAGATTAAGTATTCGAAGCAGCTCAAAATGAGGTTTCTTCTTTTTCTTTTTTTGAATTAGCTATTCCCACCAAAGATCTAGTCCAGAAGTCTCTAACAGAGAGATTTAAGACAATCATTGTCAAGCTTAATTTGTGAATTTATAGTGATGAACACAAAACCAAAGCAAGAGACTATGGTTGAAAATTTTTTGTAAGTACAGTTTGTACATCAGGAGAGCAAAGTTATGAATGGCTAATGACGTTATTAATGATCCAAATGTCTTTTGGTTCCCCTCTCCATCCAGATGGGGTTGCAGCGCTGGTGGGAACACGAGATCCCTGTGGATGGAACAATCAACAAAGGGGAGCTCATGACTCACAACCTGACTGAGCTGATTAAGCCTGAATCCTTTGAAGTGCGCCTCACCCCTATCACACGGTTCGGAGAGGGTGATTCCACCATCCGCATCGTCACCTACAGCGGTGAGTGCTGCGCACTGGTCGAACTCTAGAGCGGCCTTTTTTGTGTCTCATCCTGCAGATTGGTAAACAGAGAGAAAAGCAGTGTTACAAACAGGAAAGAGCAGCGTTCACCTTAGTGTGCTTACACGTGGCTGCACAGGTGGAAGAATTGCAGCTCCAGATGTTAATCTTATCCTTCAGCTAACTCTGGAAGTAACTCCAGCACAAGTTTGTGCTGCTGCATCACATGACACACGTTCATCGACACTGATGGATGTCAGACGTTCACTAAGCAATCATCGCGATGATCACGGTGATGATGTTTTACGGATGAGACAGGTCTGGTTAAAAGTGAAGTCATTACAATAATTTAAATTGCACGCCCACTCATCAGAACATAGTTTGACAGCAGCTTCCTCTGCCTCAGTTTGAGCTAAATGAACACTGATCAACTGACTAACCGTCTCTTCTTCATGACCTTTATTGCCGGAGTCAGGTCTCTCCTGGACTGGGGCAAAGGCTGACTAGGTTACGATATCATCCTGACGTGGAATCAGTGGATGACTCAAACATGTAGTTTGGGTCACAAGACCAAACCGACCTGGTCAAAGATGAGTCATCTTGTGCTTGATTCACTTTCACTCCTGGGATATTTGTCATACAATACATTTTTGTCAGCCTGTTTTGGTTTTTTAACTTTATTAGCAAATATTTTGAAAGGTCTTTGCCCTTGTCAAACTCTATATGGCCCCTCTAACAAAATAAAATGCCACAATGTGTTAATTCAGAGCCAGTGGACAGATAGAACAAAAAAAAGTAAGGTTTAACTTAACTTGATATATGTTTAAAGTGTCTGTTCTAAACCTGCCTCTTTGGAATGGATTGTTCTCTTTTCCTGTGTTAAAGCTCCAGAGCGACTTCAGAATTATTCCTTGTCATTAGTGAGTCCTCCCAAACAGTTCTACAATAAACTGTCACTTTTTATTGTTTGTGTGCGAGACGTTGTGTACAGAGCTTTTTGTTAACAGTCTATAGTGCAGAGTGAAGTTAGAAAACTTTTTATTCATCCCACCTGGTTTATCAGCAACCCTCAGCAGATCTGTTAAGCAAGCGACACAATCTTCGGACCCAAGTTTGCAACTTTTAAATGAAAAACTCTGGTCTTGTCAGTATATTGACAGCAACAAAATATAGTTTATCACACTGGTCACCTGTTTGCGTGTCCAAATGGCAACAAACTCGACAATGCACTTCCCGGGTCCATTAAGAATACTGCATCCCGATAAGATAAACGGGTCATGAGATATTCGTATGCAAACAGAAAGTCATTGTTGGAATTAGTAGGAAGATTGGGCCCTGTATGCCACACCAGTCTGGTCACACCAATGAGAGAACGCTGGGTTTGGTTGTGAGATAATACTGAAAAACAACAGCTACAGCCCCATCCTCACTCGGCTCAGCAGTGCCAGCGGAACAGATGCACAGGTACTTGAGATGTGCATTTTGAGAAACAAACCAGCTGACTGTTTTCTGTCTATCACTGAATGCTGAGCTCTTCCTGAGTGCTGCTGCTGCTGCTGCCACTGCAGTTGTGAATAATTCAGTTTCACTGCAGCTCATCATGACCGGTGAAAAGAGAATTGGAAAAGAGAGAAAGAGAAACGTACATATGAAGGTTCTCTGCTATTTTTCTTTTTATTATAATAGTTTGTGATATTGTGTGGCCTGTGATAAAGCAGCCGAATTGAATCCAATTGAATCCAATCAAAGTGAAGTGAAGAGAATTTGGGTTAATTAAGACAGAGAGGCACAGAAGGAGAGATGGAAGCAGCCAAGTTGGGACTGAGGAGAAAACGGAAATACAAATGAACAAAGTAAAAAAAAAAAAAAGAGGAAAGAAGGGAGCCAGTGCTGATGTGCGAATCTCCTGCCCAATGCGAGACTGGACTAATTATCACTCTAGGGCTGCGCTGTTCTCCCACGCACAGCAGTGTCACTGCATCAGGCTAATGTGGGTCTGATCCCAATCCACCCGGTCCCATAAGACTGATGTATGAAGCAGTCCGGCATCCCTTCACTTTCACTGTGGAACAGGGACCTGTGGGGTGTTTGTACACAAGTTGTGGCACGATGGCTTTATGGTTTAACAAATGTTTAATGAATGTGTGTGGATTTTAAATTTTTTTAATTTTTGTTTCGTAAATAATTGATCAAAATGTCTTTGTCTCATCCTTCTCTGGTTATATAACATTTTGGGGGAAAGGACCTGCTGTTTGAGTGATGATCAGAGAATCGAAGCAGCATCACGTGTTCTGCCTGGAGAACCTATCCACACTAATATAACATATAATGTATATTACTTAAATCAACAATAAGAATCTAGTGGATGTGGGGTTGGAGGGTGCTATGACTTTGGCCTGACTGTGAGCATGTTGAATTAGAAGCTGTTGTAGTGCCTGCCTGAAAGAACTAGATCGAATTATATGAATCAGCTTGTAGCCCTTGAGCAAATTGCAAAGCATGAATAAAGCAGCTAATGGCAATAAGGTAAAGCTCGGGCAAGTCAGGTGAGCTGTCAGAGGTAATACTACTGCACAGATAACTTTCCTTACAGAAGTCACATACACAGTAAATATAAAGTAGTTTTCAAACAGGAAAGTCTTTTCTACATTTGATCCCCTCAGTTTTAGTTTCAAATGTAGGTAGCAGACTAAAGAAGTTTGTACGACATGCATGACTCCTATTGTCATTACCTAGGTGGGCTGTGTCAACCTATACTTGACATCTTTAGGTTTGTAGTCAGGCGTCAATTCAGCGAATGTAGTATCTAACTTTTTTTGAATAAAGTGCAGAGAAATAAATCCAGTAAATGACCGTAATCTGTCCATTTGAATGGACTATATGAATCAACAGCTTCACTTTGTTAATTTCATTGCCTCTGTAATATCATTATGGTTTTACTACCAGTAAAATTAACATCCTCATCATTTGGATATTGTATCGTTTGAGGCGAAGGCTACAAGCTATTCTGCAAGCATTCTTTCTTCTCCTGTTTTTTAAAGCTGTCTAATCTTCCAGCAGTTAGATAGAAAATCCAAATTATCCAAAAAAGTGTTTTCACACTGCAAATAATCCAAACCATTGTTTAATCTGGACTGACCACCTACATTTTGGTCCATTAGTCCGAGGCACCTTTCGAATCAGAAGTGACACGGAAGGGTTAAAAGCACCCCTAAGTAGGATTGACATTTTTTTATGCTGGGAACATGACAAACAGATTGCAGACTAAAAAAACAATTTTTTTAATGCAATGCACAAAGAAACATTAAAAACTGTGTACTGGGATGATTTATGTATACTGTATACATTTGGTATGTACAGTATGTCATGTAGGAAGAAAAACCTCAGCTACTTGTCAGAGCGTCTCAAACCAAAGTCGTGCAGAGAGCAGACAGGCACCAATGATCACAGGTGGGTAAATGCCAGTAACACAGCTGGCACATTTTTCACTACAAGGACAAGAGCTTGTCTAAGGTTTTGTCTGAGCATGTTTTCCTGCTCAGACATACTTAAAAAAAACTTGTGTAAACTCCTTTTATCTAGAAACTGCTACCATGTGATTTTTTTGGGGGGGGAAAAATACACCTAGACACAGACACCAGTGTAAACTTTAGCAATTTGATCATTATATTACACATAGTTCAGTTGTCATCATATTCCCATTTTCCCTTCTTATTTATATAAGAAGAAGAAGTCTTATTTTTCTTTATTGCTCGCTGAAGTTTGTTACCCATCTGCATGTTGTTCGCTTGCATTTGCCACAAATCTTTAAATCTTGAATCAAACACACATGGAAACAGTCCAAACATCGACACACTGCTCTTCATTTTCACTGTCTGCTTCACAAAATGAAGGATGTGAGGGACGTCACCTTTAGCCCGGGTCCTGACAGTGTGAAGTGCGCAGATTGTCCCAGTGTTTGTTGCTGTGTCGTGCAACAATCAGAAATACATACAGCTTGGCCAGTCTCCAAATAACCTACAGCCTTAGTCTCCTGATCCCATGACCATGAAAATGAAGGTGTGTGTAGGAAACAGCCAAACTAAATGAATATGATTACAATCTTGTTTGGGAGCTGTTAGGGTTAACATTATTGTAGTAGCGAGTTTTCTTATCACAAGGGATGGAAAGATTATTGCGAGGCACATAAAGCCGATGGTAGCAGCTTTTCTGTGAAGAAAAAAAAAAGCACAAAAGAGTTATAATGTCCCCAGCTGTAGGATAAAGGATGGTTGTGTCACCAAGCCCCAAAGACACTTTAAAATTTTGCTGCAGTGACAAACTCAGCATCTGTTTGGCGTTCCTCATAACACCTCTCTCTCTCTCTCTCTCTCTCTCTCTCTCTCTCTCNCCCCCCCCCCCCGGCATCTGTCATTGTGGCACAGTAAAACACTGATGTTGTTTCTTAATATTCCAGTTTCATCTTTTCATGCAGCTCATAGTGACGTATGTGAGACACCTGTCTTAAAGCCAAATTCCACGAAATCTCCCATTAATTCAATTGTATACATTCATGTAAATACATTAATTTTCTGCTTCTTGTGTTTTCTACTCTCTGCTATAGCGAAGGTGTCAGGGTGTTATTATTCGACCATTGTGGTGCGGTGTAATTTCTGTCTGAGCGAGTGCTTGTTCATTAATTGTCTCAACTCAGTGTTTACATAAGAACACAGTTTGTACTTTTAAACATGGACATTGCAGTATATTTTTGCTAAAAGGATATTTGTGACAATACGATGAATAAATTGCACCAACATAGAACCACTTGAATCAAATCAATGCAGTTGTGTTTTTGTACACGCTCAGGGAAGATTATTAGGAATACACTTTTCAGTTCCTTGTGGCCAAGTAGAGGAGAAGATTAAAGATTAGACATTTTCACCACTGAGAAGATACACGTAATCTCGAGTTATATAATAAGGCGCAACCTTCATGGTTTCCATTAGTTTTATGTTTGCATTAATAATTTTCTTCTTTCTTTATTAGCATTTCTCTCTCTAGGATTTTTTCACCACATTCTTTTGTCTCATTTCTCTGCTTAACATCTAAACCAAAGCAGAGTTCATCCATGTGTAACTCCATTAAGGATTCACTTGAAGATGGCGTACACCCGCTGATGTAATAACAGGATAACACATAAGAAATATCTGTTCAAGGACTGGCTGTGTTTGGGTGTGTCCACGTGTGTGTGTGTGTGTGTTACTGCAGAACCAGTGCAGAGCCGGCTCTGAACAAGAATTTGATTGAAGGGCACAATAGTGTGATGACGCTTGTGCTATTGTCAGGGAGAAGATTGCTGAATTACATTTGCCCACGTTCTTATTATTCCAACTGATGGTGCGAGCTGTGAAGCCATCACAGGGCTTTCTCTGGGCGTCACGGCCCCCAATCCAGACCCCTCTAAATATGATGGATGGGAATATCTGAGAGTGTGGATTATATGAGGTTGGTTAAATAAAAAGAAGAAGAAGGCGAGCTGCTGTTGTGTATGAGGACACTTGGCTGCAACCGAGGAATTGTCTTCTGCTTTGTAATACAGCCGCAGGCTAGTGGGCAGGGAACCCGGCCAAGATGAAGTCAGTGTTTATATCCAGAGCGGCCTCCATGGACCACTGTCCTTTGACGGTCACTGGGCTCACTTTGTGTTTCAATCAAAATTAGGTAATTTGGATGGAAAGCAGAGTCAGACAGACGTGCACCTAATGCGTGGATTGAGTACGTGACCTGGCGCAACAGAAGAGCTCACTTCACTTAATAATTGCTCAGACTGTTTGTCTTGAGAACTATCAACATTAAATTTCATCCTTGATTCTTATTTGAGGATTTTTGAGCTGTTGAGCTGCAGCATTAAGAAGAGAAGTTTTTAAAACCTTTGCTGGAGGGCTCCTCATCTATGCATGAACAACACTGAATTTTAAGGAGAGCATTCGAGGTCCACCCATGTTTTCAGGGGCTATGAGACGAGGCCATAAAATATCTGAAAAGATTACAAAATGGTTGAGTCAACAACAGATCTCAGTCTCAATTTATTTTATTCCTTGTTTGTGTCCCGTACCCAGTACAGTCATTCACATTGGAAGTACAATTTTCTGTTAGTGCCTGTCTGTGTATGATAGAGAAAGTGTGTGCGTGCACAGCAGTAGTCAAGTAGCCTCTGGGCCCTGCTCTGTGCTCAGCTTGATTTCTTCGGTGGGGGGTAGAGACACTGCTTGAGGAGACACATTCATCTGGACTCAGGCGCAGTGAGTCAGTCGAGGCAGGCTGCAGGTAACAAACTGACAACGAAACATATTTTCTTAACCAAAGTCTTAAAAGAAAGAAGGGGAGGGGGG